CAGCCTGGTCTACAGAGCTAGTTCCAGGACAGGCTCCAAAGCCACAGTGAAACCCTGTCTCGAAAAACCAAAAAAAAAAAAGAAAGAAAGAAAGAAAGAAAGAAAGAAAGAAAGAAAGAAAGAGAAAGAAGATAACTCAGAGGAAAAAGAACTGGGAAGAGCGAGCAGATGTGGGGACAAAGCGAAGGTCAACAGAAGTTCAGGGGCTGGTGACACAGCTCAGTCTCAAGCTTGTCCACGGAAAAGACCCTCGGTTCAAGTTCAAGCAGAAGATAAATGGATAAAAGTAGCCCAGCCTGTGGAGGAGTGTTGACAAAGCTCGTGGGGCTAAAGGAGTGTGCATGCAGATGGGCCGCATTGGCTAGTAGAGGCTCAATGAGCCATTGCCCTCCAGGAGCATTTGCTGAGTGGCCATAGAATGGCAGTGTGGGCTCTTCTTATCCATCCTGTGAAGGTAGGGCAAGGTCATTGCCCTGGTTAGCACTAATACAACCCAGGGACCCCCTGAGAAGATGGCCTCAACTGAGGGACTCCTTACCCCAGCCTGGACAGTGTGCATGTTAATTGACGACCCCCCACCCCTTGCCCACTGTGTGGAGTGGCCAGCAGGCCTGTTTCAAGCTCCTGCCTTGAACTTCTGCCCTGCTTTCCCCCAGGGAAGGACTTTCTCTGGGAGAAAGCCAAGTGGACTGTTTTTTCCCTGTGTGGTTTTTGGGCAGTGTTTTATTGCAGCAACAGCAACACAACTCAGATGGTCATGTTCATTTTGTTCTCCAGAGCAGAGACTCCTACAAGCTCTCTTCTAACCTCTGACGGTCAATTTGCATACATACACTGAGACACACACACATACACACATATGCACACATAAAATAAAATAAGCATTTTTAAGAAAAAACAGAGGGGGCTGGAGAGATGGCTCAGTGGTTAAGAGTACTGCCTGCTCTTCCAAAGGTCCTGAGTTCAATTCCCAGCACCCACATATTGGCTCACAACCATCTGTAACTCCAGTTCCAGGGGATCTCACATCTGATTTCCACCGGTCTCTGGGCACCAGCAGACATGCATGCAGGCAAAACACACATACACACAAAGTAAATAAGTCTAAAAAAGAACATGGGGCTGGAGTTGGCTCAGCAGTTAAGAGCACTGACTGTCCTTCCAGAGAACCCAGATTCAATTCCCAGCAACCACAAGGCTGCTCGAGGCTGTCTGTACCTCCAGTTTCAGGAGGCCCTTCTCCCCACAGTAAAGTTTGCAGCCCGCTGCTGCACCTTTCCTTGGGGTTCCTTTAGGAAGATGAACAAGGTCTTCCTCAGGCAGCGGGGGTGGAGCTCTCCGTGGTGCTGAATTTCCCCGACTGGCTCTTGCCTCTCCAAGGCAAGGTTGGAGCATCTTGGGGCCGGACTCCCACCTCCCCTCGTCTTGCTAATTCCGGTTCCCCAAGCATCCTTACTGACAGACAAGACTCGCTGTGCACATTAGCTCAAGCATCCACATACGAAGGCTGAAGGCCAACCTCGGTGTGGTTCCTCAGATTCTGTCCAGCTTGTTTTTTGGATCCTTCTGTCTCTGCCTCCATGGGATCACAAGTGTGCACCATCATGGCTGGGTCTATTGTAGGTTCTGGGGATCAAACTCAGGCCCTCAAGACTTCATGGCAGGGTCTTTACCAACTCTCTAGTATTTAATTCTTGTTTATTTATTTGTTTATCTATTTATTTATTTTTGTTTTTATTTTTATTTTTTTAATATTTATTTATTTATTATGTATACAATATTCTGTCTGTATGCCTGCAGGCCAGAAGAGGGCACCAGACCCCATTACAGATGGTTGTGAGCCACCATGTGGTTGCTGGGAATTGAACTCAGGACCTTTGGAAGAACAGGCAATGCTCTTAACCTCTGAGCCATCTCTCCAGCCCTATAACAATGATTTTTAGCTCCCAGTAAACAACAACAAAAATCTTGAAAGCATGGCAAAAACCCTCTAGTACCTGTCTCTACCTAGATAAGGGATAACTAGGTGGACTATTGGGGTTATATATAGTTTAAGGATCTTGCAGAAGACCTATCTAAAGTAGCACTTCCAATCTGGCAAATGCTAAACTTCTAAGGAAAGAGTAATCACCAAAATATTTCAGGAGAAACAAAAATGCAGCCAATGAGGGCTCTCAATGTGGATAAAAATCTGGCAGTATTATTTGTTGTTAGTTTTATTTTGTTAAGTACATGTCTGTTTTTGAAGTTGCAAAACTAAGGTAGATAACAATGGATGCTTAAAGCATTGAAAAATGAAATCTAATATCTTGTCAATCAAAGCATGTAAATAATACATTTATAACTTATTTCAAAACAATATGAGGTAACTTAGGGTTGTTCCTCCACTTTCTTCAGGAGAGCTTGGTCTACTGTGTAGCATTTCCTGCTGGACTTCTGCATCTGGAAGTGCCTGGTACAATCTCAAGCTAAAACCAACAGGGCAAAGTGCTGCCCAGAAAATTCCTTAAAATACAACTGGAAAAGACTGTGTTTCATTAACTGAGAAATATCACAAAGATACATAGAGAAAGGATCTATGCTAGAGGGTAAGAAAGAGTTCCTAGTATGGACCCCAGGTAAGAAGAAGGTCCACAGGTAACAGCTACATGCATTAATGGACAGTACTCAGAGTGTTTATAATCAAGAGCCCAGGCTCATGTGTTAGAGAGCTATAAAGTTTGGAAAACGAGAAAGACTGGAAGAAAGAAGAAAACAAAGACAATCAGACAGCACGGCCACTGGGATTCACTCTGAGAAGATACTTTTTTTTTTAACACTATCCTTTAATATTATTTCTGTAGGAAGTAAAACAAATCATTAAATAGGGTTTAAATTTAAATGCAATAAACCTTTCCTTGAAAAAAAATAAAGTAGCTAGCAAAGAAACTGGAGAAAACAAAAACAAAATAAAACAAAAAACCTTAACATTCATCTATTTTGTATTTGGAGAAATGGTCTTAGAGGCTTATTGGCAGAAATAACAGGGAAGGTATTTTGCCCATATTTTTTCTGCAGACAGTGTGCTTAGATTGAGTGAGAGATATACCTTAACAATTTCTTCCCCACTGACATGCCGCAACCGCCCGAGGATGTCCATGATCCTATCTGGGAAAGCTTTCCATTTCAGCAGAGCGAGAAGGTCCACTAGAAGGCAAACCCAGAAGACAGTGAACCTCATAAAGTTGAGCAGGGCTCAGATTCTTTCAGACAAAGACAAATGAAATCTAGGGAAATAGAACTAGTTGTGACTATAACATATTTAAGTGCTAAAAAAGGGGGGGGGGCAAAGATTTAACTGTGCACCGTGGATGCGAACCCTAGGAACTACAAAAGCCATGGATAACTTTGTGGGCTATTACTGTTGAGTGATTCATTCAATTGCAAAAGGAAAAAGAAATGGTCTTTACTTTGTCATAAGAAGCAGTCTTGATCTCAACACACACAAGCAATGTGGAACCAACAACAGAAAACAAAGGAGAGAAGCACTTTGCTGGTACCATTACCTACCATTCTGTGTGAGTTTGGTAGAAGAAAGTTGTGTAGAAATGAAGAAAGACTCTTTGGTGCTACGCTGGAAGATGAGGCTGGAGGGAATATTAGGGCAGCCATTGTAGTCTTCTTTGCAGCAGGGCAGGCCAAGGTACAGGGCATGGTTGTTAAACGTGCTATTCTCATCACACTGTAGGTAAACACAGAGAACAGAGGTTATTTCCTAAGCAACTCAACATGCAAAAAACAAGTCCCAGGAAACTTGAGTTCATATTTATAACTTTCTTCCTAAGGTTGGACCTTGGGTTGCAGGTTCTCTTACAGGACTGATTTCTGTTCATGATTTTCCTATAACATGATAGGATCTGTGACCTCTATCTGATATATAAGCAACTTTGGTTAGCAGCTGTGTTTTGGCAACTAACAACACCATGATCTTAAATAGCAAGGCTTCGAACATTTTAGTTAAATTAATAATGGCATAGAAGAGCTGGTAATGGATTTCTCTTTACTGAAGTGAGAGGTGGGAAACAAAGGGCCTGCTGGTATTAGCTGTGGGAGAAGGGCCACTTAGAAAGGTATTTAGAAAACTAAAGCCTGACCACAGCTGTCCTATTATCACACACCAGTGTGCTACCTAGAATCCTCTGGCCTGACCAATGAAAACCACTTAAACAAGATTCATACTTGAGAATGGTCAGAGTAGGGTAAGGAAGGAATGGAGATAAAAGAAAGATAGGTCCATACCTTATACACATAAAGCTCATGAATATCATCTGAGAGTGTGGTGCCATCATCACGCATCAGGGGAGAGAATGCAAAGCCAAAGAGTTTCTTTTCCCCTTTGTCCTTTGCTGCAAGCAGAGCCAAGTATTAGAAGTACTCCCGTATTTGTCACCCACACTCTTTTGAACTTTACTTCATTAACTAGGTAGCAACCTGACTACAGGATGATGAGAAACATGCTCCTCTGAATTGCCATGGCTATCATGACCACTGGAGACGCTAACATTTCTGGACTCGATAAAATAGGAACTATATGAGTAGTTTAGTAAGTACAAAAGAAAACATTCCAAATAACAATGGGCATTTCAGGTACCAGGAAAAGCAATATCAGATACCAAAGATTTTTTAAAAATTATTTTCATTTGTGTGTGTGTGTGTGTGTGTGTGTGTGTGTGTACACGAAACCAGAAAAGGGCATCAGATCCCCTGGAGCTGGAGTTACAGATGGTTGTGAGTCATCTGATGTCAGTGATGGGAAGTGAACTCAGGTCCTCTAAAAGAGTAGGTGGCTCTTAACTGCTGAGCCATCTCTCCAGCCCCAAACTCCATGATTTTGAACCACTGCTTTTACAGTCTAAGACATTGCCTCTGATGACATCCTATTTCTATTTATTTCTAGTTCCTAATAACAAGAATCTTCACAAGTTTACTTCAAGAGCAGAGTTATGTTTTTATCCTCAAGGGAATTGAAAGGAAAGTCTCACTCACTGGAACAATGCCTGAATTCAAAACGTAGATGGGAGCCCCGGAATCTGTCAATGGGAATAGGTAATTTGATAATTTCTCCCCAACGAGGACTATTACTGTGGTAGAGAACAAAGGAGTGATAGGAACTCCTATTTGGTTCTCCAGAACCCAAGCTGATACAGTCCTGGGAAAGAAAAGCAAAATAAGATGTTATTTTCATGGAAGAACTTTAGTTTCTGTTATTAGAATGCTTTATTTTATTCTGTATCAAGACCTTAGTTTTTTACCAGATCAGATGATAATACATTTGACTTAAATTCATTATTTTTGGAAGTAATTATATAGACAGTGTAATTATTCCAGGAATGCCCAATCTGAAGTCCATGGACCACATACATCCTAGGATAGCTATGAATGTTTCCCAAAACATTTGTAAAGGACAACATGACAAAATGTCAAAAGGTTAGGCATTCCTGACAGCAGTCATAATGTTTCTTGTCAGAAGTAAGCACATAACCGTGACAAGCTGAAAATAGCTGGTTGGTGCACCTGCATTACCAAGGTAAGTTTTACATACTTTCAGAGAAGGGAAATAAGAAGTTCCATGAGAGAAATCAATTATACACAGTATTTTATCAAACCAAGAAGAAATTCTAAATTTTCCTTAATGCTATGTTGAACTATTTTAGGCTACTTTTATTAACTTTTCATAAACAAGGTATATCAGATTTAATCCGACTCCAGCTTTGAAGCTTTACCATGAAGACTTAGCACTGTTCCGACCCTTACCCTGGAAGATGGAATTTTGGGCAACAAAATTAAGGACAGTTCTCTTTTCACACACATTGGAGTGGCTGATAGCTCTGCCTCTCTGGTGCTTCCTTGCATAAGCAATGAGCATGACTACCCAGGGTATTTATTTAATGTCTTACAGTGATACACAAACCACCGTTTCATCCCTGTTTAAACATTTTCCTCTATTTCCATCTGCTTTGGGAGACTATTTTAACTAATTTTGCCTTTTTCCTCTGTACAGTAGAGCTAATGATTCCTGTTCTGACTTCCCCGTGAGGCCTGTAAAAGGCTGATCTGCCAAGTGCACTGGAAATGGAGACTAGCTATTGTTCACCAGGGTCCTCAAAATGACAGAACTGAGGAAAACACAGACAAGTTTAAAAAAAAAATCAGTTCTCTAGGTCTCCATTGCCAATGAAGAATGACAAAAAAAATCCTGTACTACATTGCTGGAAATAATTTCCTAGGTTGAATCTGTTCTTCTCTGTTCTAAAACTTGGTGCTAGCAAGGTGTCTAAATCCTACCCTATTTCAAAGAGCAAAAAGGAAGACCTAGTAATCACTACAAAAACCAGGTAGCTTTGTGCTTGGTGGAATAGAAAACAGGTAACATGCAGGGCAGAACTAAAGGAATAGGTATAAATTGGAGTAAGAGGCATGCAGGTTAGACACTAGGAAGAATGAATGCAAGGGCTACATATGACATTAGGAATCCTTTTCAAACCACACTGTAGTGTTTCCTGGATGAAAAAAGAAGACGGGGGACGACAACACATATGGGGCCATTTGAACTGGGTCCTCCCTAAAGGGAATGATCTGGGCAGACAGGCCATGAAAACACATTAGCTTTCATTCTAAATTACTAACAAGCCTTACCTTTAAGATTTCTCCATCTGCATAGAGTACATACATGGTCACTTCAATATTCTTTTGTACACTCTTTCCCCCTCTTTCAAAATCCCCCTTCTCCAGGGTTAGGTACAAATCATTGCGGATATCACCTGTTGAGGGGGGAAAATGCAATGTGTTCATGACCACAGACACCACAAGGCCCTGTTTGCATGGAGGATCAGGCTAGCATTTGAATCCTCAGGGCATTCCAAGCTTGGTTAATAACAATGGACTTTCTGCCAACAAGAGTGCAGTACTATCAGAGGGTTAGTTACATATTCTCTAAGTGTACTCTAAAGGTGTTCACCACAGCTTTCTTAGAGAATCTGGTTTGGGCTATTGGTGTTCAGACTGCTCAGTCTCTCTCCCCTCCAAGATGGCTACAGTATAAGACCCTTAAAGAAGGAAGATTTTAAAAATGATTTTAATCATGTCTGTCTAGTCTCTTCTCTTTTCCCTAAGAAACTGTTCCTTTTTTTTTTCTTCATAGTTTTCTTTTTAAAACTCTCAAAACTCTGGAGTCTGAAAAAAGGACACATTGCTTCTTTCTGGAAGCTGATGAAAATATGTTTATTACCTAGAGTCATAATGAGAGAAACAACATTTGGTTTTGGTTATCAAGTAAGCTTCCTGGTTTGGTCAGATATATGTAGCATTGCTATTTTTCTTGTACCAATGGTCTCTCCTCTCTAACCCTGAAAGTGTCTTAGGCATCAACTCTGAAGAGGTCTGGCCTGTATGCCAAGGTTTCTTATGAGGTCTTCATGACTCTTCTTTTTCTTCCTCAGGCCACCACCATCCTAGCCCAGGAGCACAGCCTAGCAATCACAATTATATGGATACACAGTTTTAAATAACTTGGCTCAAGTAGAGAAGGGCAGTGCATTGCAAATGTTTTTCAGGAGCCTAGAGAACTTTCTCTAATACTGAAATCCATCCTGTTTCCTTAGACTCTCATGAAGGGAAAAAGAAAATGTGTTCTAAAGTTCATACATGATCTTTATCCTATTGTTTATGTGGGCAGGTCGGAAGCTGTCCATTTCTGTAGTTGTCTGTGCTTCAAAGTCTGGCCAATTTAGAACCTTCATCTGTTTCCTTTGTTTGGCCTTCCTCACATACATTAATAGTACTGATATGTACAGGTGTACAGGGGAAAGGCAGACAGAAAAAGGAAACTCAAATTCACCAGCTTGTCATTGTCTAGTAACAGGCTGAATAAAATTATTCATGAATGTACTAAAAGCCCCTAAAGTCTAAAATTCAAACTTAACTGGGACATTTCCTATTGAATATAGTTATGATAGTGGAATGAACCAGAATAGATGACATGTGAAATATTTAACAACTGAAACTGCCTCTTCTTTTAATAAAAGCCTTTTAGGTGCATGTTAGCTTTCCTGTGAAATTGTAATTATTCAGTTTCTAAAATGATTTTAGCATTAGGTGAAAAAATGAACTAAGATAATTTTAATGTCTATTTTATTTTATATGTATGGCATTTTTGCCTGCATATCACATGTGTGCCTGCCAGAAGACAGAATCAAAGCTCTTGGAATTGGAATTTCAGATGGTTGTGAACCATCATGAAGGTGCTAGGAACTGAACACGGATCCTCTGCAAGAACAGCAAGTGCTCTTAACTTCCAAGCTGTCTCTCCAGTCCAATTTTAACATTTAATATAAAGACTAGGTACTTGGTTTACCCTGGTTTTCATTTTCTGGGAGTTATTTTAGAGATAGTCCATGAAGCTTTTAAAAGCAGCTATTTTTTGGCTACTTGAAATATTATTCTAACGTATATAAACTTGTCATTTCTATGGATTTATGTGTATGTCAGCAATAAACATACCCTTGAAATGGAATGCTTTCAAACTGTTCTAAGCAATAACATTACAGAATATTGACACAAAACTGGGTCTTTTTCTTGTAGACTGTTTATACAAAATTTCATCTGTGTTGCTTTATTAGTGAGCTCATGGTTGTTGAGCAGGATTATTTTAAGGGAAAGCTCCAGTTTTAAGATATCTAGGCATTTCTTCAGTTTTTACTCTTTTTGAAAGAGTGTCTTAGTGATAGCCTTGAAAAGTTTTAACACAGTTACTACCCTCCGAGGTACAGACAGAAGCAGTTTGATTTCATCACGTCCCTGGTTGCTATTTATTTAGAGACTAGATCTGCCTAGACCAGAGATAATCTCAGAACAGGTATTAGACTGCCTTATGGGTTGTAATTTTGCAAATTATGTTTCATTTTAAAAATGACACTTTGTGAAGGTTAATGTTACTTGAGGTGATGCCAGGCTTCTTGTCAATAGGTCCCAGTGGTATCACTAAAATTGCACTGTTCACTAATTGTCCTAGAATTAGGAGAAAACCTAAAAATCAGTGTGAATAGCCTCAGTGCACCTTATAGTAGTCTCCCAGGGATCCCCCACCCTTCAAGTGTACACATTATATGTTCCCCAAACCCATCACTGGAATCATGCCTCAAGGAATAAATTAACATTCATTGCCAGGAACTATTTTCCATTGAGGGAAGATGACAGGCACTTTGTGATGAAGATGGACAAGAGAGAGCTTAAGTACTAGCTTGAATGCTTATATAATAGTGTTTGGCTGATTATATTTTAATGACCCAGAAAACATGTTAAAAATGAATTTCTATGGACGGTAGTGGAGCACGCCTCTAATCCCAGCACTTGGGAGGCAGAGCAGGCGGATCTCTGTGAGTTCGAGGCCAGCCTGGTCTACAAGAGCTAGTTCAAGGACAGTCAATGTTACACAGAGAAACCCTGTCTCGAAAACAACAAAAAGAGTATAAAGTAATTTAAAAAAATGGATTTTTCTCATTTACCCATTAGGATTATAGTAGGTCTTATGTACATATATTTACAAAAAAATCATAGGTGATACTGGCATTCTTCCTAGTTGTATCGTGGGGGCTTGCTGCGAAGGCAGTGAGAAAGTCTACTTGAGAGTAAAAGCCTGGGCAGCCCTTACGCAGGCAGTCTGGAGAAGTGCGGGGAGGGTGAGGTTTATATACAGAATGTGGTATTGTTGAGAGTTGTCCTGCTAATGAGTTGTCATAATTTAGGAAGGGAGCTGGGCACTCTTTGCTGCCTCTCTTTGTTGGGTACTCTCAGTTTTCTAGTGATAGCAGAGGACTTAATATTTCATATCTCTTAGTGCCTGTATGCCTCGCAACAGTGTTTCTTTCCTGGAGATAAACTAACTGGGTTCATTCTTATAAAAATGACTCAGAATAAACTGTCTCCTCCTTTTTCACAGCTTTTATAAGAACTAGTGTCAGCTGTTGGTATAGTAGCAGGTAATGGGACTAGATACTTAACAGAAGGCAGAGGTAGAGACACTTCCTGTATAGATCTGGCAGTATTTTAGGTATTGTGGGTCCTTTATTATGTTAAAAATTCTGGGATAGAAGAATCTAAGTTCAAGATCTATGTATATTACATAGAGAGATACTGTCTCAAAAGACAAAAACAATTTTGACTGGCAATTAGTACAAAAACAGATTTCTGTCTGGCTTTTGCTCAGGAGATTATAATTTTTATAGACCTTCACATACACACACACATATACATACACATATATATGAACTTTACACACATATATATGTGAATACATAAAATTTCTACTACGTGTTAAAAAAAATCCAGACTCCTGTGAGTCTACAGAAAGAACTGTTGGAAACAAAGTTTTGAACCTGAGGCCACATTATCTTGAGAACTGGCCTGAATACTTCTTTAGGGTACTACAAAAGAAGAGCTCTGAGAAGCTAACAGTGCTCTTCAGCCACCAGAAACCTTAGCAGGCTGGGGAGCACTCTGACAGTCTAGTCTTCCAAAATGTGCATCCTAGTGACTGAAGAAACACTACACAACACAACAGTTTCTTCTAGGAGTAGTCTCTTTATAGATATCAGAACCTCTGAGGTCAAATTTAGATATCAGAATATTCTGCTAGCAAGATTATCTCTTGTTAGATACTCTAGATTTGATTGGGAGTTTTGGGTTATATGTTTCATGGTTTTTTGAACGTGACTGGCCCCATAATCTCATAGGGAGTGGCACTATTAGAAGATGTAGCTTTGTTGGAGTGAGTATGACCTTGCTGGAAGAAGTGTGCAACTGTAGGAGTAGGGTTGGAGGTTTCCTATGCTCAGAAAAGGATATTTGACTTCCTGTTGTCTGTCTATCAAGAGGTAAGGAGTCTCAGCTCCAGTGCCATGTTTCTTGCCATGATGATAATGGACTGAGCCTCTGAAACTGTAAGCCTGCCCCCCCTCAATTAAATGTTTTCTTTATAGAGTTGTTGTGGTCATGGTGTCTCTTCACAGCAATGTAAAGCCTAAGACAGTATCATATTATTCTAGCCTATCTGGCATTCTATCCCGTAAAAATGTTCTACACATATTTGGGTGTACAGTCTGGCTTGTCTTATTTTTACATCCATTCTACATAGATTATTCATATCACAAAGTAGGGGGCTTCGAGTTAAAGTAAAGTGGTATTTAATACTCTATCATTTATACTTTTTCTAAACAGGACTAGCAAAGGTGTCTGTGGAAATACTGTCTTTCCCTTGAGACTGTGGAAAATAAAAACTGACTTTCTTCTAGAAGATATAGTTGCCTATTTGAGGTGGTGCCAAGCCTTTTTTTTTATTTTTGGCAGAAAAAAGAAGGCATATCTTTGTAGCAGCATTTATCAAAACGTGGAGATGCCATTCTACATGGGGTTTCGCCATACGAGTCCAAATTGTATTTGTGGCAGTTCTTACTTTCCTAAGGTAGTGAAGGAAGAAGACTCTTGGACAGACTGCACTAGACTACCCAAAAATGATAGGATCTTTATTATTCTCACATTGTCTTCAGCCATACACTTCTGGATTCTAGCATTACAAAGTCATAAATACCCTCTGTTCTAACAGGATAATAGTATGGGAGAAAAGTGATGTAGTTCTATCTAATGAATTCTTTCTTGGGCCAGGAATGTGATGACCTTCTAACTAAAATAACTTTATTAGTCCTTTCAGAATTTTATACAATCTGTTTTGACCATATCTACCTCCTTCCCTATACACCCAATCTTC